TATGTAGAACGTAAAACTCAAAAGAAGACCTCAGGTTCGGACCTGTTTGAGGTCATGGATCACGATCTTTAAACTAGGACGAGGGGATTGTTTAATTAGCCTTGGTTTTTTGAATGCTTCGCCAATTGGTGACAAAAATAATCTTTAAAAGTATACATATAAATGTAAAGCTTGAAAATGAATTTATCCAGGGAAAATTGTCAATGCTTAATTTTCATCTTTCAGTAGATTTGATTACAGTTGTCCAGTTCCTTATCCAGCATAGTTTCAGTATAATATACCTAATAAAAAGCTAAATAGAAAATTATATTTAAATCGGGAATCTATAAAGCCACCATTATCAGTTTAATGACACAATCAAAATTCAATGAAAGTTAACTATTATGCATATTCATTAGCATTATGCAAATGAGATCGATAGTAACACATTCATTCATATGTGCATCATGATCATTAAAAAAAATTATATAAATGCCGAGAAAGACTTATTGACTAAATTAGATAACAATAATGAATTTTTAAAAAATGCAGATTTTATTGATTTAGTGTGTGCATGTAAATGTATTTCGGACAGTGTATGTAATTTATGATGGTCTAATGAATGTATTCGAATATACAAATAGTTACCATGTGAATTTTAAATATTTCATGAAACCAGTACAACAGAAGCAGACAATTTTTTTTTAAGTTGATTGGCAAACAATTTTTCTGGAAAAGAAAAGGCAACAAAACTCAGACAAAGTCTGAAAGTTAAATAAAAACCATCTAATATCTGGGAAATATTGATCCATTTTGATGTTTTTTTCATCATGGTTAGAAAATGAACACAAGAGACTAAAAGGATAAACAAAGAAAACTTGATAAACTGGGTTATATAATTTCATGAAGATTCAGTGTGAGATATATGGAGTGTTTCGAGCATAGAAATACTGGGGCCGTAAAAACAAGTATTCGAACTAAAGATTGACAGATGCACAAGTTACTTTGCATTGAGAAAATTATTACTTTAATAACATTATATATAACAATCAAACAACACTAAGTTCAGTGAAAGAATCCCTTGCAATGAGTTTATTTCCCGAAAATGTACGATTATATTTAGCAAGTCTAAAACGAATTTGTATGTTCTTAACTAACACTGTGATGATTCAGCTTTATAATTTCGAATAGATCGAACACTGAACAGATTTTTTATGACAAATTATTTCACTATTTAAGCGGTTATTAAATTGAGAATTTATTAACTCTTATAAGAAGAAAGTTATGAAACATCAAAAATTCAGTATTCCATTTATTGTAATGTAACAGGTATATTATTTACACGACAAATCTATATGTCGATGAGGAGTGACCAGAAAATAGGCCACATAGATATAAGTAAATATTTATAGGTAAAGAGGAAGAATGGATTTGTAAAATCTTAGTGAATTAATTCATAGGTAAAGTTTATAAGACGTAATAAATATTTAATTAAACAGAACGTTAAATATAATTAGCGTAAAAAGTAAAATAAAGTGTATATAATGTAAACGATAATCAAGAATCTTTAGAATGTTATTTAGACTCGAGGACAATTTATTTTACATTATGAAGTAGATCCTAGATGTTATAAAGCAGATTTCTCCACTATCTTTTTTTACAGGATCTAAGCAAATACTTTGTAAAGTCTACATCGAAATGTACATTATATTAGAAAAGCTGTAACAATTTGCTATGTTTATCATGTTTATCATGGTCACAGTGTGTTCGTGCCCCAACTGGAGGCGATAGTATACTCGATCTAATATTTAGTAGAGATGTTATCCCACTATCTGTAAAAGTATATGATGAATTTGAAAGCAGTGACCATAAGATAGTAGTTTGCGCTCTCCCTATCTATCTCTCTTATAACCCACCCATTCAAAAAACCTGTCAATATAGAGACTATAAGCATGCTGACTGGGACCTCTTGCATTTATTGATTAAACTTTCAGACTGGGATAACCTTTTTTTCATGTAATAGTCTCATGGATGCTATCGACGAATTTTATCTGATCATTAACTCTTGTTTAGATTCTTGTGTACCTCTTAAAACGTACAGGTTTAGTAAACCTTATGAATTATATATACCAGCTAAATATCTCAATAAACTAAAACGCCTACAGAATCGTTATTTTAAGTCAAATGACTTCACAGCAGTTGCACATATAACAATAATTGTTAATCAAATTAAAGAGAAACATAGGTTAAAAGCCATTAATGAGGAGCTGTTAGTACTTAATACTAACTCGAAAGTACAAAACTTAACTCTCCTTTTCAATAAACGCGCTAAAGTAACTCGAAATGTTGATATACCGTGCATCCAGCATAATAGCACCATGGCCGACCTTTTCAGTAGTATTTTTGACAATGGTGTAGAAATCATAAGTGGCTCTGCTTCAAGAGTTATGTGCGTGACTAGCAACTCAATAAAATCTATCTCCTTCACATGCATCAAAATTAATAAGGCTATAAATACCCTTAAGCTTTCGAAAGGTCACGGAGTAGACGGGATTTCATCATTTCTCTACAAATATGGTGGTCCAGATATTCCACTTCTTCTTCTAAAGCTGTTTACTCTCTCTATGGAAACCGGTTCTTACCCTTACTGATGGAAAACCGCGTACATCATACCACGTTACAAATCTGGAGATAAGACTGACATGAACAATTACCGGCCAATAAATATTACTCGTTATTTCTAGGATTATGGAAAAAATTATAAGTGATGAACTTTCCAACTATTTACTTGCTGGAAAATTTATCAATGATACTCAACATGGATTTCTTAAAAATCGATCTTGTATGACATTTCATTTTGACTTCTTTAATTTAGTCTATTCTCTACGTAGCCAAGGATATCTAGTCTTAGTGCTATATCTGGACATTTCTAAAGCCTTCGACATGGTTAGCCACCAATGTCTTTCAGGTAAGCTCGCATCTTATGGGGTTCAAAATCCTTTGCTTGCTTAGCTTGGTTCTTTTCTCAGCAATCGACATCAAATAGTTAAAATTAACTCTTCATTGTCTAACGCTCTCCCTGTTAGAAGTGGTGTAATACAAGGTAGTGTCTTAGGCCCTTTGCTCCTTTTACTGTTTATCAATGATATTTATGAAAGTTTTTGTGTCGGTAAGCCCCTTCTATATGCAGATGATCTTAAGGTAGTATATTCATTTTCTCCACATGACCTGAAAAATATGCTAAATTGCATCAGCATGGAGCTCAACAAGGTAGCACAGTGGTGCTTAAAATGGCAACTGGAGCTTAATACGGCTAAATGTGGATGGATATGCCTTGGCGATACATCACTCAACCTAGACATTACCATAAATGGAGAAGTGTTATCTAGGTTACATACAGTAGTAGACTTAGGACTTAGATATTCCCAAGACTTGTCGTTTACAGAACATATATTAAAACAGACCTCTAAGTCTCAACGTCTACTAGGTTACATAACTCGAAATCTTTACAACACTGAGTCACGTACTCTAATGTACAAAGTTTGTGCTCGACCTCTTCTAGAATATTGCACGTTTATTCTTAGCAGTGCGCGCATAAAGGATAAATTAAGGCTGGAATCAGTACAGAGACGATTTACACTTCGTATTCTTGAAGCTGATTGTACCTTAACTTATAATTCTAGATGTAATAAACTTGGGCTAGACCCTTTATGGAAAAGGAGACTCAAACTGAATCTCATCTTTTTCTTCAAACTACTTAATAAACAATCCTTTACATCCAATCACGTGATTCAATATGCAGAAACTTCTCATTATGACATCCGTAATTCCTTGTCACTAGTGAAACAAACTTGTTCTAAACCATCTCTTTATATGAATTACTTCACCTGTAAATTTTCTAGACTCTGGAATAACCTACCACAATCTATCCGTACGATAAAATCACTCCCATTATTTGTTCGCTGCATCGATGCATACTGCTCCTCTGAAAATGCATTGAATGTTCTAGCGCCTTTAAGTGTATCTCATTCCACAAGTGATATTTTAGGAACCTTAAATGTTTAGCCATCTTTATTAGTGAATTCCCTAAGCAAAATCACCTACTTGTTGGCACTTTATGTTAACACCGTCCGTAGCAAATTTAACTAATTTGAATAACATAAACAGTATGTCACTGTGTCACATGACACACGCATTTTGGTAGATCTGGTTGATTTGTTTTGGTAATTACTGCCTTGTTGTTCCATACTCTCAGTTTTCGTTTTAATTTCTCTAGTTGTAAATAATTATCAATAATTCGTTCTGGCATAGGAAATGACCTTAAATACACAGTTCATAAATCAACAGGCTGTCCATTTAAGAAAAATTAAAAGTTCTCAGCTGATGCATTGGATCGCTGTAATATATGTACTACTTAAACAACTACTGAACTAGTATACTTAAAACTTTCTTTCATCACATGTTTGTTCTGCACGTCTAACGTTATTATTTATATCAAATTGATCATACCTGTAAACTGGCGTGAATTCTGTAATTATTATTTTTCAGAATATAAAATTATTATTAACTACTCATTTCTGTTATCAATGTTCCAGGATATTCTTATCCATATAATATGTATTTACAACATTTTATGCGATACGTCAACTTTATTTTGATCTTTGCTACCTCATGCTGATATATGTCCACAAAACCTATTAACCAAGTTATCTTCCGTAAATATTTTCAATTTCATTTTTAATTCTGATTTTAAAATACTTCACGTTGTAGATAATTGATGAGAAATAGGTGACATAAAATTAATTCATATTAATCTGTTCAAATAGTTGTTCCTACCTTTTCTCGAAGTTAGTTCTCACTTTTAAATGTAATCCTCTTTGAAATGAGACCCACAATATTTATTGTACATTACTATGTTCTGTTGTCATTACTCAGCTCCAACGTTGATTTTATAACTACATATTAGTCGGTTTCTGTTCTGTTACTTAAAGACTGTTAATTATGTAGGAGAAGTTGAAGAGTTCAATAAATAGCACAATTTTACTTTACAAAAAAATAATAGAGTAAACAAAAAAGCAATGAACAGAAATACTAACAAATATTAAAGGAAATTACGTAAAAGTAAAGTCACGGAGAATTCATTACTAATTACATTTCTCCAGTAGTCTTCTCATTCAACCTGATGCTGATTTAGTTCAGAAAAAAAAAGAATTAACATTTTTATAGCACATAAAGAGTATCTTTTAGCCTCCTTTCGTCATTTCGAATCTCATGAATATAGTGTAATAAAATTGGTCAAACACTACCCAAATAAGTACATGCAAATCTCTACTAAGAAGAGTTGTGATGATGAATATACTCAACAACTGATTGGGATTCACTTGGTTTCTCATTAATTTCCATGTAAGTGATCTGATCTTAACATGTGGCAACTGATGAGGTTTTAATAAGCTGAATATCACATACTGAAATTAAGAAAGTTGGAGATGATTCAGATACAAAATCTACTACAATAATAAACATTGATCAAAATATTTCAAACATATTTATTATTTTCTCCAAGTAATTAACAAAATACACAAAAATGGTAACTACGATGGATTGTAACTAAGTCAAGCAGGTCACACGTACACACAAAATTATGCCATAACTACTCATTTGTTTTTTATCTTGACACAAGGAGCAAACAACATCAAGAAAAAAGGTACGTAAAACACTTTTATTTTATGTAAAAAAACAAATCGTAAGAAGACAATTCTAAAAATTATAAATGTTATTATTAGTAGTAGATCAGAGCAAGAGTAACAAGAATTTAGTGAACAGAATTCGGAAGCAAATTTTCATCTTTTTTCTTATTATGTAAAACCAAAAGTAAGGAATGAAAAACAATAGAAAACGAATAACAAAAGCAAAAGTGAAGGAGTACACATGAGGGCAGATAAATAGCAAAAACATCGTAACACATAGCACAATTAATTAAGAATAGCCAAAGAGAAGGAAGTAACAACAGAAGAGCATATGATGAAGTGCTGCAATGACTACTTCAAATGGTCATCTGCTGACATAAATAGTATGTGTTAAATGTATATGAGTGTGTATGCGTAAATGTCGTCATGTTGAAAAGCTAAAATACGAAAACGGCAAACAAAAAAGATCAAGATGATGATCCGTGTAGACGAAACCGCGTGCTAATAATGGTCAGTTGACATTTATTTCATGCGAGATATAAAGAGCGGGAGAGAGAAAAAAAGAAATACATCAAACAAAATCTAGCCATTAAATGTGCTCGACAAATACGCAGCAGAATACCACCAAAGGAACGGTTATTATTCATTATATTTAGAAGAGATGATATGGATAAGGTACTAGTTGGGCGGTGACAGTGGCTACAACGGATGTGAGGATTGGTTGACTACCAACAAGAAAAGTCTTAGTTCTTCTATAATCTGAAATACAATAATAATAACGATCGCAAGTAAAGTACATACTGATAAAAGCAAGTAAAAGACAATGTAATTTAATCGCTTCATTGTGAAAATTGTGCAAACAATCAGATAAATGAAAAACCTTGTCTAAAATAAACCAGTCCAAATCGCAATTATTTAGCAGCAGTACACAAAGACAAAATTAATGAAAGAAAAAAGCCAATGAAACAAAAAGCGCAATAAATTGAAAAATGTAATTGTACGTTATTTAAATGTATGGATAACATTAATTATGTTGGTATGGAAATTAAAGCAATTCAAAATGAAATAGATAGATAATAATAATAATTGAGAGATTTTATCGAGATAATTAGGTGTAAAAATGTTTTATCGTTTATTAGTCTTACATCATTAGTGTTAACAAACCATCATTTGACAGCATTGTTTACACCTTACTATAGATCACTGTCAGGTAAGCCATATGATAAAGAAATGATAACAAGCTGTTTTAAATGTTACAACTTTATTGTTATTGAGAATATTTCCGAATTTATGTTCATTTACTCTTAACTCACTGTGATACTTTTTTTCTATAAGCATGAACAGTGTGTTTCTCGTACTCGTTTGCTTCATTTCTTCATGATTGGTAGAATTAAAATTTGAATAAAATATTCTTCTCTGTTGTTCAGGATTAATTTCTAACGTTAAATTTAAACGTCCTGTAAATGATGCCCGAATTTACATAGCGGCAAAATTTAAGATTGTTTTCCCATTATCTTAAGTGAGCCATAGGATGCATTGAAGTGTTTCTGATTTATCTGCTTCTAAACACCATGTTATGCCTGTACATAACATTTTATAGCTCCTTGTTTTTTCAGTCAGCCATATGCAACGTAAAGCCTGGCTCAATTTGCCATACCCCATCAACTCAGGGCTAATCCCAGAGTAGTAAAGGTAGTGATAGTAATACCCCTTGGTGGGATAATAGGATTTAACAATTTCGCGTAAACGATTTACGTACATTTTTATTTTAACTTCAATCATCAACTTTGGATTTTTTTGATTAGCGTCCCAGGTAGTTAACCCAACAGTTAACAATCTGCTATTAGGTATATTTCAAATTTTACACAAAACTGTAGTGTAAGTGATAGGCGTTTTTTTCGCTTCATCTATGTTTTTAATCGGAAAATGGAACATCCAGTGAATATAACTCAGAAATGTGATGATAAATGGAGTGATCACTCAGCGACTAATTCGTTTGACTTTAAGTGATTAAGTTGCATGTATGAGCCCTATTCCATCTACTTTGACTTGAGCAACAGGATAGCATCACTAGAGGTTATAGTTTGCGTGTGGCTTGATAATAAGTATGCAAAATGTACCTGGTCAACCGGTGTTGATGATAACATACATTTATTAATAACTTATTATTAGTGTTTTATTAGGGTGTAGTACAATCATTTTCTTCACCAAAGGATAAGGTCTTACTGTGGTGTATGCTACTTATGTCCGCGAACATAAGTAGTATGTGGCGCCAATCGGAAGTGGAAAACTTGACAGCAGAAACCTAAGAAGATCAAGTTGAAGAGAATAGAATGGGAAATAGAAATGAATTGTGAACAGGAAGAATCATAAAGAATATGAAGGACAAATGATGGAAATTTGCAAATGAAGTATTCAGTGTATGGTACTTATATTTTAACAAGATACTCTGTAATATTGTATTAAAACATATTGGTTGTCCCCACCTGTGTTTTCGCTCATAACACTACTAATGAATTTGTTTAGGATGAAAAAACTGACCCAACAGAAGAAACCTTTATAACATATATATTCTAAAATCTTCCAGTTAGAACTTCATGAATAACATTAAAGTGGTATTCTTAATACTACATCAATAGCTGAACCTTTCAATTTATTCGGCTGGTTTTCCAGGCACTTTTTAAATGTAAGAAATGAATATCCCAATTAGTATAACAAAGCCACCTTAAAATCAACCAATTAAAGGAGTCTTGTTTCCGTTATAATCAAGCGGATATGAAACGGTCTATGTTCTAACAACTCAGCACCTATGGTCTTGACAGTAAATGAGGCATATCAGTTTAAAAAGATTGTCATTCATTGTGAAAACAACATCCAGACTGGAAAATCTCTGGATTTTTATTCTAAGTATTCAAAGCATTATACTTCCACAAACTCTTCATCTTATCAAAATAGAATACTATGCACCAAAAACGCAGCCGTTATTTAACAAACCTAGTCAGGAAATCAAGGATCACAACTAGTACTTTGATATGGGACTCTGACCCTTGTATTCTGACGGCTTAATGGAGCCATATTGGCTAAAATATCAATGTTTTAGGTCCTATCTTGCTAAGTATATAACTTAAATAGCAGCGAACTTAGAGTCTGATGGTGAAGTCGTACTGCTAATGGCTGAAGTAGGCACTTCCTTTAAACAACCAGCATCCTCACAACAAGAGGAAAATATTAGAAAAGATTAGTCTGCAAAAAATAATCCCTCCAAAAAGAATTTAAATTGCTGATGGTAAGGTATCGAAATTACGGAGTTAACACAACAAAAAATACGTTTCAAAGGTTTGAGGAACCAAAAATCGACAACCACCCACACACTTCTAGCAACAAGGCAATGTGCAACTAATGATATAATGAAAAAAGATGAAAGAACTGATAACTAGTGTAGAATATCCATCGGAGAATCGAAACTTAAAGAGTAACAAAAATAACGACAATATTTTCGTGCTGATTCCAAAGAAGTTGATGAACTATCTTTAATATGTTGAAATCAACAACACGATTAAATATCAATCTTACATAACAAAGTAAATAACACAATAATGAACTTGTTAACAACGTGCAGTGTCGAAAAAGCCATATTTTTCATGTAGAAACTGATATAACAATATAGTTGCCTAGGCCATTATAGGTAGTGGTTTTCAAAATTGTGGAGAAACAACTAAAATAACGATCACTACTAGCATTTGAAAGCCATATTAGAGGTACGGTCGATCGACTGCTTAGACAAAGTTATATTCATTCTATATAACTGACGATAATCCATCTAAGAATTAGCGATTAGACTATTACAAGAAGGATACTGTGGTAGTTTTTGTCAGTTTTATCGACAGAATAATTCATCAGTTTAGACTGATCAGTGCGAAGTGTCGTACTTTCATAACAGATCCAAAAGTCCAGTAACGATATATGAAATTCACCACTTACTATAAAGGTTAGACCACATAAATATTATGACGTAAATTCACTCAGTCTTTTGGATTCGTAGCACGTTCAAATTGTAATGAAAGTAACAAACATAACGGCTATTAGCTCACAAACATTCATATCAGCCGATTTGGTAAATTCATGCCTTTTAAAATCTATGGAACTCATAAGTTATGGTAAAATCAACTAACTAACCTGGTGTTTGTAATCAAATAACAGGAAAAAATGGCTTAAGGGAACAATAGTGAAAATTATGCTTCAAATCAGAGGACCAATTGGATAAAATAAAGGAAATACGATTAACTGTTGAGAGATAATTCACTTTGTTAAGACGACTGTAACATAGAACGAAGATTAGCAGGATTAACAGGAGGAGGGGGAGGTGGTGGTGGAGGCAACGGCAAACTGAGATCGAGACGAGGTGATTCTGGCTTTAGATTGCTCAAGTGAGTTGAATGGCGCATAACAACGTGAGTTGTTTTACAAGGCTCATGTAACACAGAATTAGGATCCAAAAGCGAGTTCCTTTTAGTTGACTTCGCTATAGTTGTTGACATTGGTGATTGAGTGGTAAAAGTAAATGAAACTGTAGAACTGACACATAAACTTGACGGAGTTAAAGGACCACATGATACTGAAGTGTTGTTGTTACTTGACAGATTAGGTAAGTCAATCAATTTTAAGTGCACTGGTAGAGATTGTTGGTCGAGGAGACCAAAAGAATTGCATACCTTTAAGGATAGGATAAAGTGTATATTTAAGTGTGTAAAATAGGACACACTAAAAACAGAAAATATTGACAAAATATCAAGCCTAACTAAATTTAGACTCATAGATAAAGGTTTGTAAAGAGTTACGTCTAAATTACAAGCGGGACTACCACGATAAATGATTAACTTTTAAACCGGATGTTCAAAAAATGTAAAAACTGACTTTTCTTCCAACTGCTTATCATAAGTATACTTTCAGCACACTTGTACGTTTACTAAGGATGAAAAGTATGAGAGTAAACCGTAACGTAGCAAGGATGTCATTTTGTAAGACAGGTAACAAGTGAGATAGTATTGCAATAAAGACAGTGTATTGTTCACCATCTAAAAATTTGTTCTGAAATTCATAAATTCGTAGACAGTATTTTCGGCATTTCATCCTTCATTACCTGCTATGTATATCTGATAATCTTGTACCGATAAAGTGGTCTACTTCCCATAAAATCTCAACATGTCCAGTATTGCTTCTTCAAAACTATGGGCATAAGTTTTAGCATCGTCAATAAACCGAAGCTTCGAACTTTAAATGCAGCGAGGAGACGAACAATGCAATTTTTACGTAGTGTTTTCGATTAAGAAACATTGTTTATTATGCATATGCCTATGGACGATTAGGCACACATTTGAATCTTAATGCAATGTACGGTATGTATTCCTTTAATCGTAGTAGGAAAAAGATTTAACCCGTACTAATTTGAGGCCAAAAATAGGGTTGCCAAGAAATGACTACACGTCTATCCCCACCTATGACGAAATGGATTGGAATGAAGTGTAATGTTTTGTCAAATTTCTTGAGTCATTGTAAAGGTTTATACCAATGATTTTCAAGTAACTTTACCTTGCAGATTGTGGTCAAACAAAATGTACCTGCTCATTAAAACCTATTTATTATTTGATGGATACACCAGTAATTCTTGATGACAATGACCTACCTGCTGCCCAAACACAACGACATAAGTATTATTATAGCCAAGACTTGAAAAATACTGCGCATTCTTGTGGGGTAGTGGTCACAGACTTCGGAATCATGTGGTCGATATGTGGAGCCCTTTATACATGTTGATACTAAAAACCTTTTTACTTTGTGTACAGTTTGCTTGTCCCAAACTCGAGTGTGGCATAGAAGCGGCTAGCCCCTACCTAAAAAAACAGAGCCGCTGGAAAACGTCCAAAGAACCACAACTGAAACGATCGTCTGAATCGCAAAGTTAAATTAAGACACCATATATATACGCTATATGGAAGAGATATGATAACAAATTTGTATCGAAACATGAAATGAAACATGTAATAAGTAAATTTTTGCCAAAAGTTTTTCAAAGGAACTTACATTATTATCTGATATTTCTGAGCTACCCATGTGTGCAATGTGTCGAAAGTTTATTGGATTACCTATGGAATACCGGTCAATTTTTATTCGTCTCTAAAACCCTGAAAATGAGTTAAAGAGGATCTTACAGTCGCTGGAGCGTTTGGAATGCAACAAAGCATCTTAATCTTTAATGTACCGACCAATCGATTTATAAAAAACACTAGCACTACATTGACGATTTACAAGCATAGCGCGTATGGGTTGTAGGTCAAACACTTAGTGAAGTTAAAGATGTTTCGACACATAGCACTAAGTTTACTGATATTCTGTTTAGTTTCCCATGAATCATCTTTAACTACAATATAGGTCATTAAAATGTTTATTATTTAAAATTCTAACAAGCTGTACTTTTACCATAATGCTTTTGTTGAAGCAGTGTCGCCGAACCCTGAAGAAACCAACCTCCATCTAGGTCACTGTATTATTAATTCTTATAACTTGTAGTATGCATTTGGAATTCTCCTCATGACGATTCAACCACAAAATACAAGTGCTATAAGTCTAGTAGTATAAGCAAGTTGACTAATACCCTTCACAGTCCCGAATGAACCCAACGCTACAGCATCTGACGACACAGATACCATACCTCCCAATGTATTTAAATGAGTTAAGGTAGACAGAACAGGCTATTGATTTGAAACAGAACAATGTGGATCGGAAGGAAACGGTACGCATTGAGTAGAGCTGTAAAAAAAAGACAAATTAACTTAAGTGTCTATCATCTCAAGCAATTTGGGGAATCTGTTGATGTCACAGGTATTCAGTGTTTGACAACGCTTCTACCAGTAACACCTTCTAATATATTTCGTTCCCGCCCAGAGAAATCAAAAGACAGAGTCGAGGAGATCGGAAGAGTATATTTGGCGATGACCAATATATCGGAATTCTCTGATCTAATCTGGCTAGCGATTGCGGTTGATGTTGAGCACGGCGTTACCACACGTGATCTGGTGCGGATGCCTGACCGAGCGCCTTCAGCTAAATGAGTCCACTAAAACATATGGTCAGCATCCAATGTCGAAAACCTAGTGCTATTTATTTTGGGGATTTATTTACCGCTACAGATCACTCCCCCCTAGTGGGGCAGTGACGACCCTAAGACGTGGCCAGCCAGAAGTTTAAACCCAACGAGTTTGTCGTTGGTAAACACTCTTCTGATAGCTTACTAAATTTAGCAGCGTCTGGTCGTCTTTCCTTACTATATGGGACCGAGGTACAACATAGTAAAAAAAGAAAATATACAATGAAAATTTCGGATCCTCATAAACGTCATCGTTCTTTTCCAGCCGTCCTGGAAAAGAAAAAAGAAAATGTAAGTGCATGTCGAAATACACTCGTATGTGCGTAAAAACACAATGTCGGCGGAAAAATCATGGAAAATAAACTCATGAACACGTAATAGCGTTAAAAAAAATTGTTTTTTTTTGTTTTTTTTTTTAAATAGAAATAAAAATATATAACCATATTAAAATTGTTTTTTTTTTAAAGAATAATATAAAATGTCGAGAAGTGCCTTACGTGCAATAGTCGTTTAAATGTTCTGGAAATCTCACCCTTCTTCCAGAACGCGTCGTTTTAAGTTTATTTTCGGATACTGTCAAAGTATCATCGTGTGTGTTGGTTGTCGGATGAGGTATTATAAGTGTCGGAGTCGTGTCGTTCGATTGTACCGAAGGAAAATCCACGTAGATAGGATTTCCTTCTAAATACGCTGCTTTTAAGCGATCGATGCTGATGCTATCGTTGGTTCCGTTCTTATCGACTATATAGTACTTAGATTCACGTTGAAGAACTTTGAAGGGTCCTTCGTATGCTGATTCGAATGGTCGTCGATGCGAGTCTCGACAAATGAAAACGTGTGTACTATATCGTAAGTCAGGTTGAACGAACACATCAGTTGATTGAGGTCGAGTGGAAGCAGGTTTAACTGAACGCATTGCGTTTGTAAGCCTGTTCGTGTAGGAGGTTAGATCCATGTTCATTGAAGAGGATGAAGGATCCACGAATTCTCCTGGAAGTCGAAGTGTCGTTCTATAAACGAGTTGAGACGCAGTGTATCCAATGTCAGCTTTCACTGCATTGCGGATACCTAGTAAGACGAGTGGAAGAGCGTCGGTCCACTGTGAAACGTTTGCAGCTGATAGCGAAGCTTTCAGTTGTCGGTGAAAACGTTCTACCAACCCGTTTGCTTGTGGATGGTAGGCGGTCGTTCGGAAGCGAGTGATTCCTAAAAGTGTGGTCAGACGACGGAAAAGATCGGATTCAAACTGACGTCCGCGGTCTGTAGTAATGGTTGAAGGGCAGCCAAAGTCTGCTACCCATCGTTCGACGAAGATGCGAGCCACTGTCTCAGCAGTGATGTCCGTGATAGGTACTGCTTCTGGCCATCGAGTGAAACGGTCTACGCAGGTTAAGAGATAAGAGTATCCATTTGAATCTGGTAAAGGTCCTACCAAATCCAGATGAACATGGTCGAAACGAGCATCGGGAGTTGTAAACGAGCCTAAGGGACATTTATTGTGTCTGATAACCTTAGATTTTTGGCAGCTTACACAGGAGCGTGCCCACTCCCTCACGTCTTTATTCATTCCAGGCCAGCAAAACCTTTCTGCTATAAGCTTGATTGTTGCACGAACACCTGGATGCGAAAGTTTGTGCAATGTGTTGAAGACATTGCGTCGATAATGTTTCGGCACGATTGGGCGATCCCTACCTGTAGATGTGTCACAAAGTAAGGTTTCCTTACCTGTTCCCATCTGTTTGATGCGTAGTTTAAGTGTTGTGGACGATAACTCGTGCTGAAGATCAGTGTCTTCTTTTTGAAGCTCGGCGAGTTTAAGAAGGTCGATTCCTTGGAAACTGTTCAAGGAAGTTATACGAGATAAAACGTCTGCAACTACATTGTTTGCTCCAGAGATGTGTTGAATATCTGAAGTAAACTGCGAAATGTAGTCCAGTTGTCGAGACTCACGGGGAGAGTACTTGTCAGAAGGAGAGCTTAACGAGAAAGTGAGCGGTTTATGGTCCGTGAAAAGAGTGAATTCACGACCTTCGATATAGTGTTGAAAATGCCGTACAGCACAATACATAGCTAGGAGTTCCCTACCGAATGTGCTGTACCTCGATTCGGTGTCTAGCAACCTTCTAGAGAAAAATGCCAAGGGTTGCCAGGAGTTGTTAACCCATTGTTGTAAGACTCCTCCGATTGCCGATTCGGATGCGTCTACTGCGATGCTAATGGGTGCTCGGGTGTCCTGATGTGCGAGCATTGTTGCTTTAGCAATCAGTTCCTTAACTGTGGAGAATGCTTTTCGTGCGGTGTCGTCCAAATTAATGGATTTCGCATTTCCACGAAGTTGGTCGGTCAGAGGTTTCATAAGTAATGCGCATTTGGGTATGAAACGTCTATAGAAACTTACGAGGCCGTTAAACGTGCGTAATTGCTTGACGGTGGTCGGTTCTGGGTAATCCAGAATGGTCGCCACTTTGGTCCTAAGAGGTCGAATGCCTTGAGCATCGATAGTGTGTCCTAGGAAGTCTAACGAGTCGGTTCCGAATTGGCATTTCTGTACGTTTACAGTTATGCCATGTTTTTGAAGTCGTTCGAAAACAAGATCCAGATGCTTGAGATGTGTTTCTCTGTCCGGACTTGCGATTAGACAGTCGTCAACATACGCGTGTACGAAGTTGAGACCTCGAAAAACGTCGTCTATGAATCTTTGGAATGTTTGAGCAGCATTCCTTAGACCGAAAGGCATTCGCAAAAATTCATAGAGTCCGAAGGGAGTTATGATAGCTGTTTTCGGTATGTCGTCAGTAGCCATAGGGATTTGGTTATACGCTTTAACCAAGTCGATTTTCGAAAAGACAGTTGTACCTTTCAAGGTAGCTGTCAAATCGTGAATGTGAGGCAACGGGTAACGATCGGGAATGGTTTTCGCGTTCAATCGCCGATAGTCACCAGTTGGACGCCAATCGTTGCTGTCCTTTTTAGGGACCATGTGCAACGGAGATGCATATGGGCTACTTGACGGTCGTATGATTCCTAAGTCCATCATGTGATCGAATTCGTTTTTCGCTAACCTTAGCTTTTCAGGAGCTAGTCGTCGTGCTTTAGAGAATACAGGGGGTCCTGTAGTCGTAATGTGATGTGTAACATTGCTGGTTACACACGGTAGTTTCGGTTGAGTTTGTTGTATCCCAGGGTACTTATCGAGTAGTGGTTGATAGAGTGGGTCTATCATATGTTTAACTGTGACTGGGGATACTCTACAACCAGTAAAAGAAGTTACGCAAACGGACAAATTAGTGTTTCCGTCTACTAGCCTCCGTTTGCGCGTGTCGATGATCAGATTGTGGTGTTGTAGAAGGTCCATACCAATGATTGGCATAGAAACATCTGCAACAACGAAAATCCAGTGGATGGGTTTGCGTAAACCCACGTTAAGGTAAACGTACCTTTTGCCATACGTAGCGATCGGTTTTCCGTTTGCCGCCTGTAAGTTTAGGGTCGATTCGTGTAGTCGGTCGTTAGGATTTGCTGGGAGAACGCTAACTTCTGCGCCAGTGTCGACGAGGTAACGAACTCTCGTTGTCACATCTGTGACGAATAACAGACGGCTTTGTTCGCCGGCTACGGTTGCCGTTAACGCGTGCCGGCTTGGAAGTTTCCCGAATTGGTTTTCGAATCAGTCGGTTTCGTGTTGGGAAAATTACAGGGTTTTCTGCAATTTCTGGAAAACTTTCCATACTGGTTATGATACCAGCACCAGTCGGGGTTATCTATCTCTCGTGGTCTAGACACAGATCGCTTACGAGAAATGCTTCTACGTGGTGTGCGCGATCTCTTACGGTCGGTACGAAGACTAAGATAACGCGTGAGTGTGTGACATAAGTCGTTTATATCATTCTGAGTCGTTTGAGGTTTTTCTTTGACTGAAAATACCTCGGTAGTAGATTTCGTAATTTCTAAAATGCGGTCGGCAGATGCAGCTAGCTCGTCTAAGGCATTGTTCTGGAACGAGACCAGAACTGCTTGCACCTGTTGGGGAAGTTTTGACAAGAAGAGTTGTTTGAATAGGCCTTCGTCGAAAGTTCTTGGGCCTATTACCTCTCTCATCCGTTGCAACATGTCCATCGCAGAACCGTGTTGCAGGTCGATATTGTTGAAGAGTTGATCTAACCTTTGTCGATCGGTTAGGTCTCCTCGTTTAAGAATCGAGCGTTTTAAGATTTCGTAAGGATCGGAAACATCACTAGTAAACATACTAGGTGTTACGTACCTGTTGAATTCGCGCGGTAGTGCCTTGACTACTGCGAGGAATTGCGCACGTGTGTCGATCACGCCGTGCTCGGAGAAGTCGGCTTCTGCGTAGCAAAACCAGGCTTCGATGTTGTCGGGCCAGAAAGGCATCAGTTGAAACGAAGGCGGGGACAAAGTCTTAAGCTTGAGTACTTTAGGTGTCTGTTCAGTCATGATGAAGTATGAAGTACGATAATGAACGAGGGGAAAATATATATATCCAGGAAAAAACACGAAAAAAAATCACAATGTTTAAAAAAGTTGAAAAAATAAGGCAATGATATATAAAAATCCCAAAAAGGAACAGACCCACAGTTGCAATTAGGTGTACCAGATCACGTCGGTTTCACCAATGATGATGTCACAGGTATTCAGTGTTTGACAACGCTTCTACCAGTAACACCTTCTAATATATTTCGTTCCCGCCCAGAGAAATCAAAAGACAGAGTCGAGGAGATCGGAAGAGTATATTTGGCGATGACCAATATATCGGAATTCTCTGATCTAATCTGGCTAGCGATTGCGGTTGATGTTGAGCACGGCGTTACCACACGTGATCTGGTGCGGATGCCTGACCGAGCGCCTTCAGCTAAATGAGTCCACTAAAACATATGGTCAGCATCCAATGTCGAAAACCTAGTGCTATTTATTTTGGGGATTTATTTACCGCTACACTGTAAAAAAAATAGCTCAGTGACAAATAGAAACCCAATGTTAGTTGAATCATATTAACTGCCAAATCCAATTTGAACCAAGCATTTTTTAGAATCATATACCACAATACTATCAAAAAGCAGCTGCGACATGTTGGCAAGCTAATCATACTAACTTACTTAGACCAGTTACCCCACGTGGAGGAGCACAGATTGCTCACCATCATTCTACATCGAGCTCTATCCTGGGCTATCCTTTCTAATTGTTTCCAAGTGCCATTCATTCTTTTGGTGTCTACTTCCGATTCCCGGCGCAGTGCGTTCTTTGGTCTGCCTCTTTTTATTTTCCCTTCACGATTCCAAGTTGGAGCTTGCATCGTGATGCAGTTTGGTAATTTCCACCATGTATCTGCTGTCCACTTCCAGCGTCTTTTATTAATTAACTTGAAGACGCCACATGTATTTGCAGTTTGACAACAATTTAACCGGTAACATCTATAATTGAATCGTGTCCACCCAGTGAAATCAAAAGTCAGAAGCTATGAGGTTTGAAGATATATTCGATAGGTTATCAATATATCGAGAAGTGACTGATCTAAACTGTCTAGTGGTTGTAGAAAAAATTGAGCGCAATTTCATCAATCTTGATCTGGTGCGGATGCATGACCAAGCGCCTTCAGCTGATTGAGTCCAACAAAACTAATATGGTCAGTATCCAATGTCGAAGACTTACAGAGTTATTGATTTCTGGGATCTATTTACCATTACAAACTATTCAGCTGTGAGTTGGTTTGTTCTTTCCAACAGTAGGCTGTTGCTGATAGCATGCGGCAAACGGACATTCACTATCTTGCGTAGTCAATTGTTTATAAATATCTATACTTTTTGATGATGGTTGTATTAGTTCTCCAAGTTTCAGCGACGTACAGTAGAACTGTCCTGATATTCGTATTGAAAATTCTGACTTCGATACTGGCTGACTGTTGTTTTGAGTTTTATATATTCTTCGATTGTAAAAATGCCGCCCTTGCAATGCCAATCCTTGCCTTTACATCTGCATCAAATCCTACTTGTCCATCGATTATCCTGACCAGGTAAGTGAAAGTTATCACCTCTTCTAGAGCTTGTCCATCAAGTGTGATTGGGTTGGTGTTCACTGTGTTATATTTGAAGATGTTGCTTTTCCCTTGTGTATATTGTTGCCTACTGATGCAGAGATTGCTGCTACACTAGTTGTCTTCATCTGCATTTGTCGCTGTACATAAAAGCTATTCACAGTACGTAGATATTTAATACTGATAATAGATGTGTTCAGTATATTTGTTATGTGCGGTTTGAAATTCAAACCGCTACCATCTTAGTTCTTGTTTATGCTCTTGATATAACATTTGAAGGATTATTATTAAATTAAATCGTAATAAGGCTGTTCATCCTCAAGTTTACTGGTATGCATAATTAAACATTTTAATGAATTCTATAAATGTAATAATAGACGCGCTCACAGGACTCATATGTTATGTCCAAAGTTTACTCTAGTCAGTTGTTGAAGCACGTTGATTGATCTACTCGTAACTTACGACCCAAATAACAAGAGAATCGAACTCCAGTTCAGGAACCGAAGTTTATTCATAAATTACAGTTAGTCAACCCCGATATATTGCTTTCATTACAATTACACAACAAACCCCCAGTTTTTATGTTTCTGGAGCAAAAATTCCAAAATAGCAAGACGAACACTATGAAAACAAAATGTCTGAGGTCAAGGGTACAAGCAAAGAAGTTCAAAATTTGAATGAAACGCATTTAACCAAAACAGTGAAGTTATTAACACTTAAGTTATTAATCAGTCAAATACTTTCAGTGATTCTTATAACGCTAAAATGTCATCATAAACCACTTGCTTCATCTTTGAATATCTATGAGAGAATGGAATGCCTATCGACTGTGAAAACTATGATAGTAGGAAAAGGACGCAGGCGGATCAAAAACGATGTTTTGTAGCATCTGAAGGTTGTGATTCAATGAGACGTTCTTTATATTTGTCAATAACTCTAAAACTTAAATCTGAGTGTAAGCAAATGCAAGCACCTAAACGTATGACACCGGGAAATCGAATTTAAAAGTCGTTAGGGTTAACATAGTATCCTTCAAAAATAGATTATTTAACTTAGTCATGGAATTCTTCCGATAAACAGTCTTATCACCACCGTAATTGCAAGGCTCTTTCCCATAACTCTTATGACTTTTAGGCCACTTACTATTGCCATGAAAGAACTAAAACTGGATGGAAATTGTTCGTAAGCAGTCTTATAACACTGGATGTTCCTGAGTATCGGTAACTGTTTTTAACGGAAGTATTCCAAACTCCGAATTTTCAAAACACTCTTACCTCTTTTAAGACAAAGCATTTTGTGAGTAAAACTTGCTGTTATCTTCGTTTCGTCTCCTTTATTCCACTTCAGCTAATGCAGGTTATTGATAAGTGCAGTCATTCTCGTTGAACCGCTGTTGATGTCAGAGAGACTGGGACTAAAACCCAACTTATCCTCTTGGGTTAATATTCGGTTACTGAGATTGTTTATGCTTTGCAGATATATATTTCATGGGACGGAACTTTAGATTCAATCAATGATACCTCATTTACAGACCACCTTGTTTTGCTTGAATTAAACTTATTATTTCCCGAAGTGGATATATCAATCAAAACGATTCTAGGTAGTGTAAACATCGCTCACCACAGAACTATTACTGACTTGGCCAATTTTCCCACCGACACGAAAACAAAACACTAATATATAGATGCGTATATTTATAAAATATGGATTGTTCGCATACCTTTCGAAAAGAATATAATAAAGCACGAGAATTTTGATTGTCAAATAAAAATATGAAAACAGATAAGTTAACATAAATGTTGTTATGAATGCAATAAATTTGTAAAGAAAAATGCAAATAAAGATAGTTTGATAGATACATGATTATACCTGTTTGTTCACATCATAACATGCATTGACTTGACGTTTATCGTTTAGAAAACACATTATTAGTAATAGTTAATTGAAATAAAGTCTAATCATTGCAAAACAACAAATCGTTACAGATTGAGGTCATAAATAATTTATACCTACCTACTAATAAATGATATTTTGATAATAACATTAATTATTAATACTAGTGACAATTTTTGATAGATAATAATTAATAATATACTCATATGGATTCTTTGTCACTCGGATAATGGAAAAAGGAATAAAAACGACAGCATTGATAAAATCAAAATATTTAGTACAAAACGAAAACAGTGGCAACGACGAGAACGAAGAGAAAACACGAGGACTAGAAAAAAACAGTAGTATCAGCAGCGAAAACAACAGTAACAATGAAGATAAGGAGAATTATCCGGTGATGTAAATGCAAATGAGGATCGTCAAAAATACCTGATTTTATAACATCAAAGGAATTATTCTGAAATGCACAAATACCGTAAATAGTAAACGGATACTATATTCAATTGATTTGGCTTAGCAATAGTGAAGAAATATAATCCCAATAGGGAACAAAATAAACCTATTATTTCACCAGTTCAAGAATATAATTTTTAAGAAATTAGAAAAGTCCTTTCTTTTTCTTTTCAGTTTTTACACGTTCTTTAATTACCTCATTCATAACTCGTTCACCAAGGCCTAGTGTTGGACCATTTGTCCCAATCTCTGCACCAATATCCCATTCACGCCAATTTTCTTCCCAATTTTGACGTTCTAATTCAAATGCACGTCGAGCAGCTTCTTGTTCTAATTCTTGGGCTTTTAATTGTTCTCTCATTTGCTCTACACGTCGCATTAAATCAGATTCTAGTTCACGAAGTTTCTGATTTTTTTCTTCAACCTATTGAGGATACGTGTGATAACAATGAATTTAAATGTACACAATATTGCAGGATGAAATTAAAACCAAATATTAAAAGTGGAGATTATCACAAAAAGTTAGGTTGTATTGTTAGAATCATTATTGTAATACACAGCAAAACGTTAATAACTACCTCCAACTGTCAACAAAAAATGAAAGTAAAGAATATACAGAGAAGGGTTTTTGAATAGTCCGCAACATTAGCAAATAAATGTATACAGTTTTTAAACCATGAGTAAAAAGATTATTTTAGTACAGAAGTGTTAGCGTGTAGTATAGAATAATGAGCAATAAATACACTTACCATACAAACCCCTCAACTGTGCTGCATGAACATTAAAGTCTGTTTAATATACAAAACGTTTTTACGCCTAATCATCCTAAAGAAATCAGTTATAGAATATAGATAAAAAAACATTTACGTAACAGAAGTTGGAGTTGTATGATACGGAAAATGGGACGATTTGATTGACAGAAATCAAGATAAACGAAACCACTGATTGATCCTGATCATAATAATGCAACAGCAGTGCTATTAAAATCTGTTTTACTTTAAATTCCTTGTTAATTAATAGGGATATGTAAAAAAAGAATACTTACATTTAAAGTGAGTTACGCTCATCTAGTTTTATACTTAGAACATTAAAACACTTTCCGTGCATTTTAAGACAGCATCAGAGCAACTCCATGGGTGTGTGGAGCATTTTGGTCCTCGTGAACAGAGTACAGCGACATCTCTCTTGAATCTAGCCTTCTCCGTTCAGCTTAGGTCTAATCGGTTTTACTCATTCCAAGCACCGCCAAGTTCTATCTCATTTCCGTAGCTATTTGACTGGTCCTCCTGATATCCCACATTATCTGGACATTCCATGCACCTATATTAATTGTTGCTCTAGTTGTTAGAAGGGGCATCGGCCTTATGACTTCCAAAGAATCTCGACTTTCATCATGAGGCGTTATAATTCTTCTGAATGAAGATCCTTCAAAACGGAGGGTAGAGTTTAATTTCTTTATTCTAGTAAGCGTTTTTTCTACGGGATAGGGTAGTTGACCCCATGCCCAATCCTCAATCTTTACCCCGGTTTACGACCGGCAGTAACCCTAGAAGAGCTACAGGCTGAGTTATTAAATTACTATTATAGTATTTTACATGCAACGTAATTTTAAATCAGAAATATCGAGATGATTTTTTTTCATCTGTATTTTATTTCACATGATTAAGTTAATAATTTCGGTATTCTAAAACTTATAAATGAAAAACAATGTTAGAAGTTGCAATATCAAGGTTAAGGTTGAACTCACAATTTTATTTATAGATAAATATTTCGTTATTGTTAATATTCATTAAAAATAAGGTCACTATTTGTTTTTTTTTACTTTCACTAATAATATATGCTGTAACATATTTCCGATTAGAATTTTATTCATCAAGCGAGCAATAATTAAAACGGTACGAATGCGTCTGAAAATAAATTCTTTTTGAACTTTTACGAACTTTATATTGAAAACCGCATTACACCAGTAGAAATTTTATGAGATTACTCTCATTACGGACTGACACCACCTGGAAAACTGGTAATAGTGAATATCTATTTACTGACTCAACGATATGTTCTCTGTTTCAAAGGTTATAGTCAAGTTTCAAACTTTGATATTAACAACAATGAGTAACATAGTCTTTAAACGAAATCAGTGTGATAACCTTATTTTGCCAGTTACATATGTTGTGGTAAACAGTATTGCGTTACTTAAATTCGTATGAAGTATTCGATGATATCAGTTTTTCCAGTTAATCACCTGTAAAACACTACACGCAAGAACGGCTTATCAACACTGAACATTTCACATTCAGTCATGAAATAAGCTTAGTCTCTTGAAGTACGAACTTACTTTCTTACGCCCGTTACCGCTCGTGGAGGTTTGGGCACCCGGGCAGTATCACAGCCCTCACATATATCAAATGAGATCTGTGTGGCGCATATGTATATGGTGCCTCCTTGTACCAATATCTATGTGTTAAAGTAAAAAAATAAATAAATGCAAGATACTCAATGTCCATTTGCCGCATACCATCACCAACAGCCTACTGTTAGAAAGAACAAACCAACTTCCAACTGAATAGTTAATTAAGAAAAGACACTGGAAGTGGACAGCAGATACATGGTGGAAGTTACCAAACTGCATCACGATGCAAGCTCCAACTTGGAATCGTGAAGGGAAAATAAAAAGAGGCAGACCAAAGAACGCACTGCGCCGGGAATCGGAAGTAGACACCAAAAGAATGAATGGCACTTGGAAACAATTAGAAAGGATAGCACAGGACAGAGTCCGATGTAGAATGCTGGTGGGTGGCCTATGCTCCTTTACGAGGAGTAACAGTCGTAAGTGCCCCAAAATGCCCTGGTACGGTCGAGCGTGAGGAGAGTCCACTCTACCTCTTGAAATGCTCTCATATGGCCACGTACATACAATCACTGTCAGGGAAGTCCGACTCACTACATTCTCACGGAATTACTGTTGTTTACGAAATTAAGGACGAAAATCGAATGTCCGAGGCTTTAACTGGGTTGGTGGATATGGAGGATCCACCTAAGGGAGTTGGAAAACCCTGATTACAAATCACTGGTGTACACGGGCTTCAGTATCATGAGGGAACAAATGCCGTATGAACCTATTATTGGTCACCGGCTACCATGGGACTGCATCTCTCAATGTTGCTCTACTGTCAGGAGTGTGGCCGCGGACGAAAGTCAAGTGCTTCGGTTTGGGCACTCGGGCAGTATCACAGCCCTCACACAAATCAATAATAACTACTTCAGGCCTGATTGATATTGTATGGCACATATGTATTTTGGTGCTCCCCTATACCAATGTCTATGTGTTCAAATAAATAAATAAAATGAGTAAGTACTTTACTTGTCAATGATAATTATACTTTGTTCTGACATCTTGTGCATAAAATTAGTATTTAAGATACCGTGATCACTATAAAAGACCAACTATGAATATAGAAATCTATTTGTATATGTTGGATAACATTTCATATATTAATATTGGCGCAAAGTACTTATCTGAAGCTATTTTAACCGAGGTACAGGATCTTAAAATCGATCGTGTTTAAATTTGACTTACTTTCTGGTCGAATACAGCTTCCATTTCTGCTTCCATTTTACGCATTTTGGCTTCATGTTCTTTTTTCTCAGCTTCCATGAGAGCCATTGGATCTTTACCATCACGTGTCTGAAAGTGGCTCTCCAAAGCAATGCCTGAAAGTTTGGCATTTCGATAATTTTCATAATGAACATTATGAGTCACATCACGTAATTCCTAATCAAAAAATAAACAAACAATACTGACCGGTTAACAGCAAACATCGAAAGTGTAAATAAAATATTGGGATAATAATTGTATTACAAACCATATGCAACAAGATCATAAATACTATTATTAAGAATCCTACAGTTTTTGTTAAGTCCAGTAAACTCCTTAGTCAATATTTGACTCTTCCACAGGATTACCGGTAGTTAAAGAATAAGAGGAATTTAGTTACGGTCACTGTTTACCGTAGTCGGCGCTAGGAATATTCACCCTTATTATTGTTTCTACCGAAATGTATTCCATGGTATCATAAAAGTTAGGTAGGGTAGTTGTAGTTTTTAGTGAAATTTTCATAAGTCATTAGCAGTAAATAACAAAGTTTGATTGGATTTATTATCAAAAATAAAATCTGTTTTATTCACCCTTTAAAAATATTAAATGTAACAATGTAGTTTTCTTAAACAAAAGAAATTCATCATTTTCAAGTTAATAACTCTAAATTTAAACAGACTGAAAATTCAGGACTACCGAATTATTTTATCTTGTTGTTACTTTTATTGTTTGATACAATTATGCATCTTTTTTTAAAGATTATGAAATAAGATCAAACCTTGCTTCACTTATCAATATTTAGGCAGATAAATAATTTTATAGTCAGTCATTGTATGAAAGTGTGTGTAACGTATATAAGGCTATTATACGATTTCTTTCTTCATATACCGGTGAAAGAAACCAAATGGCGAATAATTATAAATGATTTTGTAATCAATTGTTAGTGATTACCAATGAGTTGATACCATAAGAACAGAAGAACAGATATAAATTGTGAAGGTCTAAACGGTTATGCATCGTAACAGAACAGAAGGGAATTAGTCGACAGTAATGAAAATGAAGTAATTAACACAATAATGGGATGAATAACTAAGAACCAAACTGACTACTGATTTTTAACATTTTAAAGATCCCATATGAATCAATTGTATAGTTTACACCAATAATCACTGAATTTATCGGTGGGTATCATGTCTTAGTTTGACTGCCCTAATCTTTTTCGAATTATAAGTCATGTTTTAACATCAAGACTGATAACTGAGATCAAAGGAAATAAGTAGAAAAACTTTGATTTTTATGGTTTTATAATTAATGATGATTGTCTTAAAATACAGAGATTAAAAAAAGCATGGGAGAGAGAAAATAATCATTTGGATGCGGTCGCCACACATTGGCAACATTGACACATAGGACTTAAGTTAGCCCTTAATCCATCAGCGAGTGAGAAAAGAGAAATTCCAGCGGAAAATAGCTACGCAAAAGTATTGTATTCAAGCAAACAAGAATCAGCACACCAAATTATAAAGATTTATATCATTATATTATATGACAGAATCTTACTGGATAATAAAATCTGGGTTTTAGAAAACCGTAAGGGTTTTCTAGCATTACTCCACTTTTGATTGTAGTTAAAATAAAGTCAAACTATATTGTAAACTAATTTCAAACTAAAAATAATTTAAACAAAGTATCGATTTCCACTAATATGTGGAAATCGATTTACAAACAATTTGAAGTAAAATGTCTACCAAATGGAAAAGATAATCATTACAACAAACAACCTAAAATTATTCAACCGTTTATAATTAAATTTCATGTGCTTACATTTAACTGTCATTGTTAATAAACTAAATTCAATGAAATAGCGATTAAGTATCAATCAGAACGCAAAATTCAATGTTTGGTGTGATCCATTGTATTAAACAGATCTACTATTAGACAAGAATGAAAATAATATTTCTAAAGTGATAAGGGTGAGGTAATTCCGTATAGGGATATCAATGTAGTAGTAGTAGCAGCTTGTTTATTGATAGTCAATAGTATTTCAAGTTTTTACACTGCAAGAATGATCAATTCGATAGAAAAACAAACAAAACATGGTTGTCATGTTCCACGTCAGGTGGAAAAATGAAAATAATGTTTTATTGAAAAACTCCAGGAAACTGAGACTCAATCTTATTTACACCGGGCTTAACGCTTGTTTTTTGAAAATACATTTATAATCATGATCCGACTATAAGCATAACTAAAAACAAGACTTATTTGGGTGTATAAGCTCTAACCATAAACCGTAAATGAAAAAAGATATTAAACAGAAAACGTATTTATCAATCCGTCATACGTGATACAATCTACTTTGAGAATACACATCAAATCCTTAAGTATACCAAACGCCTAAGAATTTGTGAAAATCTTTTTTAAATCCCACCTGCATGTAAACGCTTAACAAAAGATACCGTATGGCAGCAAAATCATTATGATCCATGTTTTCAACCTCGACGATACCCCAAGGATAAGAGCGCGCTCGAACACGAACTCCAGCATTATTAGTAATCAGTGTATTAGCTCCGACAATAGCAAAGGGAACCCTATCACGTAGTCGTCGTAGTTTAACTAATTCCTCATCGTTGCTCCGATCTATTTGAAACAGAAAAGTCGGTATACTGAAAAATGTGACATTTTTATGTACCAAAAATGATTTTATAAATTCTGAGAACAAAATAAATAGTCCCCATAAAATAAAATAAATTACACTTAAGTAAAAGGAAAAATGATATGTATTAGTGGAAATAAAATAATAATTGGTCGTTGAGCGTGGACAAACAACCAAAGCCTACGGGCTATTAAATATGTGATTTTTCTTCCTATCATTGATTTCTACTCCGAACTCACTGAGTATGACTGCTTTTATTGAATAAAGTATTATCTAGTGTTAATCTAGTTTTCTATTTCGGGTCGTGAATCTTAGTTCTGATATAACGTAATTATCCTTATTAATGTATTATCGTAATATACGCTAGAAATAAAAAATATTTTAAACATTCGTTATATAAAAAATCAAAACTATAACAAACAGATATTTATCTCAAAAAAAGGGAAAAAACTAAAAAAGGCTTTTATAAAAAACGGTTGAGTAGAAAACATGATCCCGAACTAAAGCTGATTTGTTAAGACTGTTTTATAAAAAATATTTTCATTCGCCAAATCAAATGATTGAGAAGTGTTAATACTGAGTCAAATGCATGGGTTCAATACTGCTGAATATGATGTGGTCATATTTGGCACGCAGTTCATGCGAACAGAATGTAACGGGAAAACCTTAACGTCAATTAATTTTAGATCCGTTGCCCAACCTCAGTATTGACTTTCTTAATTTGAACACAAAAAACAATCAAACAATAGCGCTCTCATTTTTTTAATTGTAAGATGATTTTTAGGGGGGTAATACTTATATGATGGGCTCGTCTAGTAGTACGTATTTAGGTTTTTCTCTTTTTATACTTATGCAAACTGATTGATTTGATTTATCATCCTTCTTAAATCTAAATCTACTTTTACACAGATAACGATAAAATTACATATATACTCCTTATTAGCTTACAACTATTAGATTGGCATTGGATGTTTGGGATGTGATTCTCAACCTTAAGATGCAAAACTTTGTTTCAGAACTAACCTGCATCAGCGACTGAACTAATGATAGGGAGTCAAATCATTGAGCCTGTAGACCGCTTTACTTACCTTGGGAGTCATCAGTCCCGATGGACTGGTATCTGACAAAATATCGGCACGGACTCAGAAAGCCCAATTGGCTTTCGCCAACTAGCATCACTTGTGGCGTAAGTGAGACATCCATCTGGCAACCAAAGGTCGAGTTCACTACGCAGCAGTTCGCTCTGTTCTCTTGGATGAATGTGAAACATGGCCATTGAGTAGAGGATATTTGTATCTTACTACTATTCGATCACAGGTGTCTTCGGAATGTTCCTTGTGTATTTTGAGACCACTGGGCAAGCAATGCGGAGATTAGGTATGGGCTATTAGGTTAAGATGGCAAATTAATTGATGTAGTAAATCTTCACAAACTGAGGTGGTTGGGACATATTTCACGTATGCCCAACCACCTACCACCTGGGGGCAATGTTGTCTGTTGTAGGAGTAGATTGAAATAAAGTTAGAAGAGGCCAAACGAAGTCACTGACAGTAAAACCGAGTCAAGTTTGAAGGTGTAGACCACCTGGTTGAAGTCCTTGTAACTTGTCATCAATGGTTAGAGATGTTAAGTGACATATCTCAGAGCCATTCGCAATAGCGGAGGTGCAGTTGTTACTTGTCTTCTTTAAGAATCTGGACCCCGAAATCTCCCTATACATTTTTTTCTGTTCTTTACTTACATTTTTACCACTACAACTGATATTGTTATCACCTCTATTACTCTGAGATCTATCTTGAAGCAATTCTATCTCACCGTACTAATGTGATGTTTTAACTTAAAGCGGTGTGTGTCAGATCCCACTTTGATTTTTAAATAAATGATTGTTGCGTGAAAATTCAAACGAAGTAACGTTTTGTACCCCGAAAACATCCTTCTGAAAATACCAGACTAGGTAGTAACTCGAGGAATTCTGAGATATTTTTATAGACATAAATGTACAAGGAAACTTGGTTAGGTACCTGTTATGATATTCACAAAACGACACAGCAGTGGTATGGATATAAATATTGGTAAACAGATCATTCAGTTTCGAGAAGATATTCTGAGTACAAATCAACAGCTGAAAATAAAGACACTAACATAATTACCTGAGCATTCAGGTGGGTCGATAAACTCGAATACGCGTATCTTTCTAGATGCTAAGTCACTTAGTATTGTTTTCTTGAATTCACGACATTCTTCTGGAGTCAATGTGTCAGCTTTAGCGATCACGGGGATTACGTTAACCTTATCTTGTATGCGTGACAGGAATTCTAGATCCAATGGTTTCAGTGAATGTCCTGGAAAAAAAGTGATAAACATTGAAGCGTTAATCTTTGATAACAAAGTCAAACTCATTGAGATTTCAATAAAAAGATAGTATGATCGATTTTCAGAGTTCTTTTATATGAATAAAATTACAGAAACAATGAACAACTTGACTACATCAGTACTTCAAATAAAAGCAACTGATTTATCCATATTTAATGTGTTGATTTGCATTACGTTTCATTCGAAAAACCTGGATAACCTGAAAAATATAAGGGCTTTAGAACTTAACTCTAACCAATTAAGTAACAAGATAAGTTATGCTCTCTAACATTCTCATGGAACGCATTGGGTACGACAGGCATGAAGAAACCTTCCAATTTAGTGTAAAGTATAGTATAAAAACAATATGTTGGTTTGGTTCTATAAAGTGCCATTAAGAACAAGTCGGATGAACTGAATGGAATGCTATCTTTGCTTGTCTTTAAGCAGACAGCAAAAGCCAACCTGGGTTAACTTATGGAGTTGAAACTGGTCTATATAACTTAGTAACCAATATTCAAATAAGTTCTGAAAAAAAACTGTGTAACCGGAATAAAATAGCCAACCAGTCGGAAAATGTCGCAAAATAGTCCACAACTCCATACAATTTTGAGTTTGACTTTAATGGATAGATCAATTTCGAACACATTCTGAATTTGTGGGATGCTCCAAAAGACAGGCAAAACCTGACCGAAAGTTATTGATTGATAAAAACTCAGAACAGAAGTATGCCTATCCAAACATTTTATGATTTATCAATGAATTTTTGACTAATGAATTACGTTGAGACATATTATTGTGAAAAACTCCAATTTTAAACACTCGCCAAATTAATTTGCTAAGCTTAAAAATACAAACGAAAAGATAACATAAGTGAAAAATGTGACAAAAATTTGCAATTCTGAAAACTGACCCCATCAATAAAGCTCTTTACCAGACAAATTTGTGCAGTGATATTAATTATTCAAAACTGGAATAGTGACTGATATATTGTCTGAAAAAGCTGGACATCAGTGTCTCCAACCACACAAATAACTTATAAGTTTGTGGAAGTAACAGGGTACTTTAAGTATATCAATAGATTAACATGAATAATCAAGTCTAGAACGCCTGGTACGGTCAAGCGTGAGGAGAGTCCACTCTACCTCTTGAAATGCTCTCATATGGCCACGTACATACAATCACTGTCAGGGAAGTCCGACTCACTACATTCTCACGGAATTACTGTTGTTTACGAAATTAAGGACGAAAATCGAATGTCCGAGGCTTTAACTGGGTTGGTGGATATGGAGGATCCACCTAAGGGAGTTGGAAAACCCTGATTACAAATCACTGGTGTACATGGGCTTCAGTATCATGAGGGAACAAATGCCGTATGAACCTATTATTGGTCACCGGCTACCATGGGACTGCATCTCTCAATGTTGCTCCACTGTCTTGTGGATTGAACCTGTAGGTCAAAAACTCGGGTTGTAACCCTCCAAGAAAACTACATACTTCAATTTGAGAGACTGGGCAGTATCCCAGCCTTCATACAAACCGAATAATTTGTATGGTGCATATATATTTGGTGCCACATTGCACCAACGTTTATGAGTTTGAATAACTAGATAAATAACATGATTGTTTTGTGTACATTCGGCATAACAAACTTACCTGTCGGAGCAATAAAGTAAATACATGCATGGATACGCTGATCTGGGATGCTCTGACACGGACGATTGACTCGGCTCTCTCCAGAAATGTAATCATCGAAGCGCGAAATAATATAATCCAGAACCGGTTGCCAACAGTTAGTATTATCTATACAGTCGCCGAACCCTGGAGTATCGATCAAATTGAGCTTTAGATAAACACCGTTTTCCTTGAAAGGTAAAAAACGCTTTGTAACTTTAGATATTACTTTAAGTATAACTGTGTGTGACTGAACACAAGTAGTTTTTCTCTGACGTTTAGATGGGCCAGGGTGATCAGTGTTGTAAACTTCACTGAGAAACAGTGAATTCACAAACGTGGACTTTCCAACGCCTGATTCTCCAACAACAAGGATGTTGAATTCAAACCCCTTGCGAACAGCTTTCCGATAAATCTAACGCTAGGAAAAACATCCGGAATTCGACAAGCAAACCTGGTTAGGTAAGTTGGAGTAACCAACATAACCCTCAACAGAAGAAATTCCATTTGCAAGTGCCGTAGCTAAACCGTTTACGTGAGCTCCTGAGTCAATTTTAAATTCTCTATCAACATTTGAGTCCTTGGACTGGATCTTTAATGAGTCCAGATTTGGTAAACCATCTTTTCCAAGATAAGCACTCCTCTTACTAGCTCCATTGTGAAGTGGAGACTGCTGTTTGATATGAATTAAGAAATTAATATGGAACTTACATAAGACATGCCTATAAAATTAGAAACCAGACAAATCCTAGCCCTTAGTACCGTGGAGAATTGAAACACCTGCCCGATTATAAGCTACAGAGTAGCTGAAACTTAGTAACTCAAAAAAGGATAGCAGATTTCTAAAGATGTGCTGATGGAGTATATAGAGGGAGTCACAAACACCAAAAATTTTGGACCCATCAGTGATCCGATAGACACTCTTCAAAGTATATATTCCAATTTATTTATACCGCTACCGCGCTCGTTTCAAAAACGGCAGTTATTTTTGTACTTGTTGTGATTATCCTTGCTTTGTGTACTTGTTGCACCAAAAAGCATTCTTGGTCTTCTTTATTAAAAGTGCTTTGGCTAAGGTTTGAAACTTTTGCTGAACGTTGTCCTTTGGTACTTTTTTTACTCATTGACTGACACTCGTGTTCACATTGTGATTATATTGTGTTTTAAACCTTTCTAATCAAATTACAATGATTAGTGAGACTCATAAATGTGAGAAACCAAACTGCTTGTTCCCTTTTGGGAAAGGAATGCGGTGCGATGAGTGCAAAAAGTGGTACCATAAGTTGTGTACACGTCTAAGTCCTACGGCATACAAAAGATGCTTGAAGCCTAGCTCACATTGGCTTTGTATGTTTTGCTGTACAAATAAAAAGTTACTAATTTAGGAGGCTATGAGTCTATTGGCTTTGGCCTGTAAGAAAATTGATGGCGGTTGCGCTGATAACACGAGCACTGACGGTGAAGAATTTGTCAGTGTAGTACATGCTGCTACCGGACCCGCTAAACACCCGACTGTGATTGACAGGAAAGTGAAATCTCCGTTAACATTAACGAGGAGTGAATTGCCGCCTGATATTGACATCGGTAAGCATACACCTCAAGTGGAAATCGAAGACCCGGATAAAACTGTACCGTTCCAAATAGTCCCGGGGTGGCTGTCCTGAGTGATGATAAATGAACTTAAGTAAGGAGAAGAAGGAAGGAGAAGAAAAAGGCTGTGGGCAAAACACAGCTGGTTAGCAAGTCATTGGAAGAGACGGTGTCAGAAACAAAAACTCCACTGCGTGTCAAGACAGATCTCTCTGAGAGGTCAGTCATTATTCATAAGTTAAGAGAATCTTCCGATAAGGCTAGATTTGAACACGATCTCGGTCATATTAAGTCCTTAATAAGTAAACTACTCCCAGATACAGTTTCAGGAGTTAGTATTTGTAAGCTTTACAGAATAAGACAAAAGGTGGATTCTGAAAGTCCTCAGAAAAACCGCCTCCTAAAGGTTACATTCAACACGGTGGAAGAAAGGAACCTGGTTCTAAGTAATTCACGTAAACTGATTGGATCCGGAATATATGTCCGTGAGGATCTCCGCCCAGCAGATCGTATTAAGAGAAGAGCTGCAGAAGCGGAAATAAACGAGCGTCGCCGAAACGGTGAAAGAAACCTCGTTCTTAAGGGTTTTCAGATTGTAAAAGTTCGGAGCAAAACGATCCCGTCACTCTGGGTGGCAAGGGAAAGTTCTCCACAGAATTAACGGTATGCCACACAAATGCTCGCAACCTACTAAGTAAAATGGCGGAGCTCAAGTCAGTGGTGGATAGAGAAAAACCGGATGCTATTGCTGTATCGGAAACTTGGTTAACATCATAAGTATTAGATTCTGAAATCCAGTTGACTGGTTTCATAACCAGCAGGGCTGATAGATTAAACCGTAGGGGGGGCGGGGTTATTCTGTACACAAAAAGTACCCTAACCATAAGATTAGCTGAGACAGTAGCACATGTTTCAGGGACATGTGAACTGGTGAGATGTAAGGTGAAATGTAGACGGTAAGATATTGAATTAGTTGCAGTATATCGCAGTTCAGAATGTGTAGATGATTTTCTCCTAGGTAAATTTAAGTCCTGGTGTAATAGGGGTAAAAGCCTTGTAGTAGGCGACTTTAATGCACCACATACAAACTGGGTTAACTTAGAAATGTGGTCATCGATAACGTATTTCGACTGCAAACTGTTAGAAACCTTGATTGGATTAGCATTATTCCAACACATTAGAGATCCCACAAGATACGACTTAAGAAACTCTTCCTCTCTTTAGATTTAGTTTTCACACACGGTGATGACGTTGGTCAAATGGCTTTTCTCCCACCACTTGGGAGAAGTGACCATGTAGTCATCTTATTCAAATTTATGGCTGAGATTGCTTGTCAAACAGTTGCACCGACCCGTCCCAACATATTGAAGGCAGATATGCAGGCAATTAACTCCGCAGCATCGGCTGAGAACTGGGAAATTGACTCAAAGGCATCAGTACAAGAGGCATGGACTCTATTCAGTCAGTTATACAATCGGGTAACTCAACCATACATGCCCTGGACTGTCCCAAGGAAAAAGAAGCACGGACATCCCTGGATAGGGCGGGATATTCGACACTTACTGAGACAAAAGAAGAAATGCTGGGATGTTGCCATCCGCCTTGGCACAGCAGGTACGATGGAACGCTACAGATCGATAAGAAACGAGTGTATAACGAAAATTCGGGAAGCTCAAAGAAAATATGAAATGCAGCTGGCACAATCTGCACTCAAGCAGCCCAAGAGAATATTCTCGTACATAAACTACAGAACAAGGATGCATCATTGGATTCCCAACCTAATTAAAGTAGGAAGTGAATCTGCAATGATAGAGGAAGATCAGGTAAAAGTAGAGGCTATGGCTGAATATTTTGGGGCAGTTTTCACTCAGGAACCTCCTCTAGAGAAAGAACCAGACCCAAATACAGAGTCAACAAACCAGCTGCTCACCGTGGACTTCGACCAAAACGATGTGCTTAAGGCTCTCAGCACCCTAAACATGGAGAAGTCAACAGGACCAGATGAACTACACCCCAAAATCTTGAGACATATTGCCCAATATATCGTGGCCCCATTGACTGTGATATTCAATACGTCGCTTGACCAAGGTGTGTTACCTATGTACTGGAAGGACCCAATCGTCACTCTAACACATAAAACAGGACCAAGACAACTTCCATCAAACTACAGACCTGTAAGCCTGACCAGTGTTGTAGTTAAAATATTAGAAAGAATAGTCAAACGGAACATAACGGCATTTATGTAAACAAACAACTTGCTAAATATAGAACAACATGGTTTATGAAAAGGTCTATATTGTACAACGAACCTCCTTATAGCAAGGGAGTTCTGGATAAAGGCGCTAGACAACGGAAACTCAGTGGATGTTGTCTACATAGACTTCAGTAAGGCTTTTGACAAGGTGCCAACAAATACACTGCTATTGAATTTAGAAAACCTTGGTATTGCCGGACCTCTTTTAAAATGGATTAAAGATTTCCTAGTAGGTCGTAGACAAAAAGTAAGAATAAATTCCAAGTGCTCCATCTGGAGACCAGTACGTTAATAATCTTACAATATAATAAAGTCTCCAATGTTATTATACGCTGATGATGTAAAAATTTGGCGAGTAATAACTGGAGACAAAGACGCATTTACTCTTCAGGCAGACTTAAATAATATGATAAACTGGTTTAAAGAGTGTCTGATACCTATCAACGCGGAAAAGTGTGTCTACATGCACTTGGAGGATTCAAAGGTTAATAAGTACAACATAGGGGATGTGTCATTACCAGTAGTCCGGTCTCATAAGGATCTAGAGGTGACAGTGAGCAATGATCTTAAGACGATGGCCCATTGCCGAAAGGTCGCAGCCAAGGGGTTTCGAACCCTCTGGGCTTTAAAAAGGACATTCACTAAGTTAGATACTACCATGTTCACCACAGTATACACATCCTTAGTGAGAACTAAGCTAGAGAACTGCGTTCAGGCTGCAAGCCCCTGTTTAAAAGGTGACTCAGACATACCAGAAAAAGTACAGAGGGCAGCTACGCGTGCAATTCCGGAACTCCGGGGTTTTTCATACAAAGAGCGGCTTGAAAAACTGAACCTCTTTACTCTGTCCTATCGCAGACTAAGGGGAGATCTAATTTTGATGTACAGAATACTGAGAAATGATTTCGGACTTAATTTATTTTCTCCCTTTCTTCCCACTAGATCGGGACACCTCAGAGGACATAGCAGGCGAGTAGAAAAGCCAAGAACGAACAAAATACCCGTGGCATACAGGTTTTCACAACGCGTCAATACTTGGAACCTGCTGCCTGAAGCAGTGGTGTCCGCACCTTCAATTGACTCTTTCAAGAGAAGACTGGACACTCACAGAAGCATACCAGAAAAGGAATAACATAGGCAGTAGGCCTTCTGTCCTTACTACACAAATTTGAATCTGTGTTTGTTTAAACTATCCACCTCCTCAACACTTGTATCCTGTTGTTAGATTCACTTCCAAAATTCCGGCTTCCATACACATGGAATACTTTTAGGCTTATTTGTGTGTTTTCCTCTCCTTTCGATTGTACTGGACGATGGACTTACTGTGTCTGATAGATTTAATATCACTAGATAGTGGCTTATTTGTTAGTGCTAGTCCAGAGTAAGAAAATGCAAAGAGTGGAGAGTTCGAAACTATTGGGTAGACGAGTTATTTCTAGTAACTGCGATGTTAAATATGAATGAAAATAACGATAGCATGTTCTAGAAACGGTATACAATGCAGGCCGATTAACAGGCATGATCAGGTTGACAGTGATTGGAAAGGTGATATAGATAATCAGAGCTTGACAATACTTTTGTCCGTACGACCTTTATACTCGGAAGATCCCAGCTTCAGCCAAACTGGTATCATTGAAGCTTATTTTAAGCCACTCATACGGTAAAACTTTCCACTTTAACTCCCAGGATTATTTGACCCTATTTAAAGTATAAAAATTTAATGTTTCTACTCTTACTCAAAAAGGATAAGGACACTCTTGAACGTATCTGAAGACAAACCATAAAATCGTTTCAGGAACTTAAATTCAGGCATTTGAAGAACTCAAATCACTGAAACCTGACTGATTACATGCATGTCAGAAATCAGAGAAAATAT